ATGGCAGGACAGTACAACTCAGTTACTGGTACCAAGGAAGAAAGTTACCCAGGTATTGGAAGAAATTCACGGTGGTAAAACTGGAGCCCATCTTGGGGTAAACAAGACCTTGAGCAAGCTGAGAGATCGCTTTTACTGGGTGGATTATTGCGAAGATGTCAAGAAATGGTGTCGACAATGTAAAATTTGTGCAGCCAGCCAAGGACCAAGCACTCGATCTAGGGGAAAAATGAAACAATATAACGTTGGACTGCCATTCGAAAGAATCGCTGTTGACATTGCAGGCCCATTCCCTGAAACGCACAAGGGCAACAAGTACGTTTTAGTGGCGATGGATTATTTCAGTAAATGGCCAGAAGTTTTTGCCATTCCAAACCAAGAAGCATCGACTGTAGCTGAAGTATTAGTCAATAATGTCTTCAGTAGATTTGGAATTCCCTTAGAGCTTCACACTGACCAAGGAAGGAACTTCAAGTCAAGACTGTTCCAGAAGATGTGTGATCTGCTTGGTATTCACAAGACTAGGACAACAGCTTTACATCCGCAGTCTGATGGGATGGTCGAAAGATTCAATAAGACCATTGAACACCTCCCGAAAATGGTGGACGAACATCAAAGAGATTGGGATCAGCACATACCGCTATTCCTAATGGCTTATAGAAGTGCAGTTCACACCACCGGACTTTCACCATCGAAGATTTTGTTTGGTCGAGAATTACGGTTGTCTTGTGACTTGGTGTTCGGATCACCAGACGACGGCACCACAAACGTAGAGGACTACGCGGATGAACTGAAGGAAAGGTTATTGGAAATTCATCAGACCGTTAGAAGTAAGATTGCGCTAGCCAGTGACCGGATGAAAGCTCTTTACGACCTCAGAGCTAATTCTACGGGATTTCAACAGGACGATAGGGTATGGTTGTATAACCCACAGCGCAAGAAAGGAAGGTCCCCTAAGTTAACTCCAGCAAGGGAAGGTCTTTATACAGTCATCAAGAGGATAAATGATGTTTTGTACCGGATTCAACGCAGCCCTAGAAGTACGATGAAAGTAGTTCATCTGGATCGATTGAAGAGATACCAGACAGGAAACCTTGATCGGGACGATCAAATTTGAGAAGGGGGCAATGTTAAGGTCAAGGTGTATTACTGGTTGCATAACTGCATTACTGCTACATAACTGCAACGTGCATTGAGGAACCTGGCGAATTCGACAGAAAGTAAAAGAAAATTACAGAATTCTTTAGAAAATTCCAGAAACCATCGCCAGGGGGTATATAAGGCCCGCGCTTTGACAGTTGGACAAGTCTGAAGATAGTCTGAAGTTTGAATAATACCGCGAAATACCGTTAGAGTAATACTAGTTGCATAAATTGTGTTGTAAATAGTATAAGTTGTGTGTACAGAGTGAAACAAATAAATTCGTTAAGTATTTTATCGTGAGTTTAAATAGTGGACCCACGGAATCCGTAGCAATATATTTTAGACAAAAAGTTTTCAGATACAAGTTGTAGATAATTACATACCTAATGAATTTGTGATTTCTGATTTTTTCTAAAGCCTGTAATTTTTGACCATAGTTGGCCATGACTTCATAAAAATCACCATTTTTAAGCTTTTCAGCGATATAGGTATATATGTTTTTATCGAAACATTACAGTTAGATACAGAGTTATAGTTATAGCCAATTCTTTTCTTTCTTGGCTAATTTCACTTAGTTGGCATGGAATTCTTACTCTGTTATGATTTATAACATAAAAACAGAATATATTATTAAACGGTTCTTTACGATTTACATTACGCAAACTAAAACTTCATAATATCACGACCCCATACACTTAAGTTATTTTAGAAAATGTTCTCCCGTACCGCCTCTTCGAGGGGGTCCCATGCAATTGGTCCACCATCCACCTCTTCCGATCCCTGAGTTTGCATAATTGTGATATAAATACTTTTTAACATTTCTTTCATTATGGGGGGAAGGGGGAGTTTCATAATGAAAGTCATATTGGAACCACCCTATTGATGCGCGACTATCTAAATTTAACTTTTCTAACATGTCTTGAAAACCGTTCTCTTAAAAACGTAAATAACGTTCACGACGTTAGGAGGACGCAATCTCATTAAGGATGTGATTATCTACAACTTTTATCTGAAAACTTTTTGATTAAAATAGACTATAATGGAATTAGGGACAATTTTTAAAATAGCCAAAGTTTTTTTTTCGAAATATCTAGTAATCCATGAACTTTTTCAAAAATCTGAAAGGCGCATATTTATGACCTCACAAAACTGCAATTCTTTCCCCATTTAACCGACTCTCTATCTGCAGTAGTTTTCGAGAAACCCATAGAGAACGTCGTAGAAAACACCATGTGTATTGAAAATACTGAAGACCATAATATGAAACAGAATAAAAAATAAATTTTGCATTATCTAATTAAATTATTTTCCTGGTACATTTTTTTAATGAAAATGTACTTGAATTATTTCAGTTAGACATGTATCCTGCTGTTAGAAAGTTTTATGGTTTAACAGGATTTGTGTGTGAGTTAAAATAATGAAATTTTTAGTTTTTATAATTCTTCACACATACAAAGTTAAAGCAAACTTTGCCATATTTTACATTAATAAAGATTTAATTGGTGTAATAAAGATTTAGATGATGTATTAGGTACAATATATTTATTTTAATGTCAAATAATATTGAAGCAAGTTGCAATTTTTTGAACATTTAATCAAGAATGTAAAAAGTTTTATGTTTTCAAAAAAAAAATATCGTAAAATTCGTTAAACAATCAATTTAGAATAAAATAATCTAAGAATGAATTGATTCTTTAATAAACCTGCATTAAATCAAATTAAAATAGGTATGTAACTTTTTTTGAATATTAATTATCAGCAATTAACATTATCATAAATAATAAATAATGTACCAAAATATCGAAATAATAATTTCTTTGTTAATACGGTTTAGAATTCTTAAAATAACAGGCAAAAATAATCCACAATTTACAATAAAATAAAAGTTTCGTTTAAATTTATTAATCAGCTGATCACTATCACTGTTATTTTAAGAATTCTAAACCGTATTAACAAAGAAATTATTATTTCGATATGTTGGTACATTATTTATAATTTATGATAATGCTAAATGCTGTTAAATAATATTTAAAAAAAAAAGTTACATATCTATTTTAATTTGATTTAATGCAGGTTTATAAAAGAATCATTTCATTCTTAGATTATTTTATTCTAAATTGAGTGCTTTACGAATTTTACGATATTTTTTTTTTGAAAACATAAAACTTTTTACATTTTTGATGCCAACTAATTGGCATGGTATTATTGGTATGGGAATTAGCCAAGAAAGAAAAGAATTGGCTATAACTTGTAATTTTTCGAAAGAAAACATATTATACCTATATCGCTGATATAAAGGTTAAAGAATGGCGCTTTTTATGAAGTCATGGCCAACTAGGGTTTCCATTTAAAAAAAAAATAATTTTTGTGTCATATGTCAAAAATGACAGGCTTTAGAAAAAAAAACAGAAAACACAAACTCATTAGGTATGTGATTATCTACAACTTTTATCTGAAAACTTTTAACATATGGTAGATTATAATGGAATTAGAGACAAGTTTTAAAATAGCCAAAATTTGTTTTTTTCGAAATGTCTAGTAAGCCTTGAACTTCTCCGAAAAATCCGACATAACTTCTCCATTTAACCGACTCTCTATCTCCAGTAGTTTCCGAGATACCCATAGAGAACATCGTAGGAAACTCACCTTGTATAGTTTTTATAAACTAACTATTATTATTATTTGACTAGATTAATTTGATTAATAAGACTCGATTAATTTAATTTAAAATAAATTTGATCTGATTTTTTTTTCGTATATTCTACTACCAGAAAACCAAAATTATATGATAACGCACTTTTCAACGAAGTTGAAGGAAGATATGTATCTATCACAATACTTAATTGAATTACTACAATTAGAAGAAAAACAAAAAGAAAAACTGCCCAAATACCTTCACCTACTACTCATCTACAAAATAAACGAATATAATCTCTTAAAAACACTACACAACTACTTCTTGTATTTTACACTGAAAAAATTATCAAACTTACTAATTAATCAAACAAAAAGAAAAAATAACCAAATTATCCCTTCACCTACTACTTAACTACAAAATAATAAACTATAAAAACACTACTAAACTATTTCTGGTATTCTACACTAAACATTATAATTAAACTTAATAAAGTTAATCTAATTTTACACTACAACCACTACAACTATAAAGAAATAAGAACATTTTTTAAAACTAGAAGAAACAGAACTTCGATACGTGCGACCAGTATAATAGATCCAGCGGACAAAGAATATAAAATACTTTAAAAATGTGCATTCAGAAAGAAAAAATATCTCGAAAATTATCTAAACAAACATTTTTTTTGCTTATCAGTGAAAAGCATCGGCCTCGTCGGCCTTGCGGAATTTGTCGGGTAACAAACCAATTAGTCGAATAGTTCGATTAGGTCGATTAGTAACCAATTGACACAGTCCGAAAATTATCGATTTTTATTTTCTCTGTTTTTATTGGTCGCTTCAAAATTCAATAACAAAAAATATTTTTCTGTAGTAAAAGACTGTGAAATACGCTCCGCCATCTGGTGCTTTACATCCATAAACGTCTTAGGTTGAGCTACTTTAAAAATTCATATACAAGGATATAAACAAGGCTAAAACTAAACGGTGAACGGTTTACCAATGTTCTTAAAAATAAACAAAGTATATTATTTTTATTTACCCTTTCGAGGGCTATAACTTCTTTGGGAAGCATTTTAGGGCATATGTTCATAGGAACTTTTTGTTTTATTTTTATCTGTAGTATCACCCACCGAAATTAGATACCCTATTTTTTTGACACCCTATATATGTATATACATATTTTAAACAGTTAAGTACTTTTATAAATATTTTTTATGTAGGAGAAGTAAATGCAATGGGCCCACTAATCGATTCTGAATTGGAAAGAGTAGACAGGAAACATGCACAACTTACCCAACTGAGTGCTGATTTAGTTGAAGCTCTTTCACTTTATCACACGTTAATGAGAGAACCACAGTTGCCATCAATGGCAAAACAAGGCTATGAACCAACTTATGGATACGGTCCAGCATCAGTTGGTTCTATGGTAAGAGACCTGTTTATTTTTTTTATTTTAATTGGCTTTAATATCTATCTATTTTTTTGTTATAGTACAATGGTATGCCCATGGGTATGCAGCAGCACCATCAACCACCCCAATCAATAGGTTATCAAATACCAGGCCCACCAGGATTACCATCTGCAGTACAAGAAAGGATACCTTATGTCCCTAACATGCAACAGTACGGAATACACCAACAGCATCCGATGCATTCCAATATGCCTCACAATCCTCAAGGACATATGATGCCAATGCAGCCACCACCTGGTATGCATGCATTGCCTGGCCCAGGTATGCCAGGTGGAATGCCACAACCAAATTATCAACCGATGCACGAAGATAGGAGAATGGAAGTTCAAGTACCATTGCCCCAATTTCAACAAAAGTAAGTCAATTTAATACATATTTAAAAAAAATCGGAAATTTTCAAATTTCTTAAATGTTATAGTATCGGTAACAATGTTAAACCAACAGCAAATGGAAATTAAATTATTCGTATTTCTTGTGTATATTTTAATATTTCATGTTTATTTTCACGTAAAACTTCTTTATGCGCGATGGGAGTAAAAATTGAAGGTCATGACACGAGACGTGAAAGGAAAAGTGGTAACTATCTCGAAGAGCCCCATTTTTTCATGATATTTTGACGCAGTTTCGTCCGATTTAAATGAAATTTGGTATGTCGATAGATTGGAACAAGGCCAACTTGACCGTGTACGACACGTGTCACTGTGACAGTTTTGACGTAATAAAGGTCAAAAGTTTATGTCGTCCGATCGCGACCAAATTTGGTGGGTAGGCTATGTCAGCGACAGTACACACGGTTCCACCCTGCAACGTTGGATACAACAAACATCGGCAACGTCTTAACTGTCTGAACATCTTTTGTTTATTTTTATTTCACTTTCAGGCAGTTTCAGGAATGAACAGAATATTTCTGTAGTGTCCTGTCAACTTGCTTTAAAGTGACGTAATAATATGTAGGCGCTTATTGAAACTCCGGAAAAATAATGTAGAATTTGATTTCAGGTTTATGCTTTAATTATACCATTGATGAACGCGTTCTTTCATTTTAAAGATATCTTGATTACTTGAATTGAAATTTATAACAAAAATCAATTAGTTTAACTACAGTTAAACACCGGATTGAAAGAAATACTTATATGTTATTTACAGATAGACAGTAAATTACTTATATACAAAAATTGAAAGAGAACTAACTTTACTTAACACAATCGAATGACAGTCAATATATAATATAATAACACAATCAACTGCCACTGTCATGTCTCCTTCTGTCATTGGACAGACTATTCAATGTTGGCTCAAATATAAATATCATAATTTTTATATGGCATATTTAATGTTACAGCATGCCACCAAATTATGGTCATCCAAGTCTGTCTCAATCAACATTTCCTAATACCGGTCCCGTTCAAAATGGACCTGCGCATTCTAATCAACAACCTCACTTTGTGTCCTCCAGCACTCACATAATGCAATGAAGACTACGATGTTAATGATGAATCAATGAATCGTTTTATTTGAACTAATGTAAATTTCTTTATGGAAGAAGAGATATAAATGTTGGTTCTCAAGAAAATTTTTAGTGGATAGAAAGCTGAAACATTCCTTTTGGAGAATTGAATATTATTACTAGATTTTAAATCATTCAAAGTTGTAAATAAACCCTATCTTCTTGCATAATTTGATTTACGAAAAATTCAGGCGATTGGTACTTCAAAATTTGAATTAAAGTACGAAATACCAATGTTTTGTCTGATTTAGTTGGTTTAAATATTTAATAAATTGTGATTTATTTAGTTTTTAGATTATTTACCAATATGTAATATAAAGATTAGTTCTATATATGTACTGAAAATTATGAGTAACTCGAAGAACTTTTTGTATACAATTTTTCTTTGTTTTTTAAAAATACAGAAGAAAAATAAACTTTGTTTATCACCATTAGTATATTCCCGCTTAAAAAAAACTAAGATATTTGTGCATATATTTTATGCTATATGTAAAAGCTTATAATGTTTCTTACAGATGGACCCTAATGTTATGTGAAGATTTTATACTTTGAAGTTGTAAGGCGCAGGCGTCTTAATATATATGTAACGGTTAAAGTCCGATGTCCGGTTAATGTCGACATTAACATGTTAATGTTTGGGTTAGGTTATGTTTTTGGCTGTTTTGTTGTGTTATTCTCGAGATTCACCGGGTAATGTCGACATTAACCGGACATCGGACCTTAACCGTAACATATATTTGTCAAATTTAACATTTTTTGCTTTAAATTTGCTTGGTTACGTAAAGTTATATTTATAAAAAAAATATACCGACTGGAGAAGAATGATTTGATTTATATTTGTCTTCTATGAATAATGATCAGTTTTGTGTATGGTGAAATGTCAAAAATATGCAGGGGCGTAAATGATAAAATGCGAGAAATTCTGGAGGTAATTACTCACCTATATTTTTTAACAAGTTGCCTTCTATATTTTCGCGTTTATTAATTTACAATGTATATTTATGAAATAGCATCTAATTTAGTTATTTGATAAATTTTGAATGTTGAATAAAAGGAATAATGCCTGCAAAATAGACCACCATCTATGTAAAAAATATTTTGAAAAATGGTTTTATTTGTTTCAGATATATTTGCAAAACTTTTTAGAAACAGTCGACTTTAGAGTAGATACTGCTAAATGGTTTATTAAACATACCATACATAATAATTATAGTTAAGTAGGTAGTGCCATAGCATTTTTATTTCAAATTTATTTAGTTTTGACACCGTTAACTGAATTTTTAAAACTTGGCAAATTTCTGACTAATTATCTGGTTTTGCCAATTTAAAAAAAATCCTTTTAAAATGCTTAAAACTAAAAAATGAATAACAATATTCTTGACATGTAGTTTAATATCAGTAATCAGCTGTCACTAAGCAAGCTAAGGATCATTGAAACTAAAGCAGAGTAAAATTGAAATTAAAATGCCATTTTATGGCTTACTTAATTATGGTTATTTATAATCTCGAGGCATTCTACAATTTATAACTTTATTCTCATGTAGAAACTGTCAAGACTATGTTCTTTTTAATAGTTTATTTGATATTTTTCGTTTATAATATAAAAAATATACGTATACAGGGTCCGGCAATAGTGCGTCGGGCATCTGTAGCTCCTAGAATAAAAAACTTTAGAATTTTGTTTAAGTGCTGTTTAAATATTAAATAAAAGTTATTTTAAATAAATTCTGCTTTTCATCAGTTACCTCCTCCTAATTACAGAGGCGCATCTAAAAATTTAGTGAGATTGTGTGGTGACAGTATTTAAGTAGAGTACTAGCGTTGATTGAAGAAATTGGCTTCCTTTCAGATCACTTTACATGATCCTAAGATATGGTAAATCTATTTGGATAGTTCCAGAGATATTAAAAAATAAATCAAAAATATATATTTTTCAGCCCTTCTTAAAAAAATTATTAAAAATACAAGAACTGTTCTGAAATCAAAACTATATTAGGTATTTACTTTAGATGGTCTGTTCTTACTTTGCTATAAAATATGGTAATCGTAAATCATACAGGATGTTCAATATTCTACACCAAACTTTCTAAAATATAAAATAATTTTTCGTCGTTTTTTTTAAATGGAACACCCTGTATATTATTTTTTTATTAGATTGAGAATTAAAAAATGAACATTTTTTGTATTTAAAGTATTTCAAAATTTTTAATAGTTTTGCGGATACACGCCGTATTATTTCATATGGCGCTTTCAATGGTAAAATACGAGAAAAGAATCATTGGGTGGCTTTGATAAAAATTTACTGTGCAAAATGGGCCACATGAAATATAAAACCGGGAATATCTACGAAACCGTTAAAAATTTTGAAATACTCTAAATACAAAAAATCTTCATTTGTTAATTCTCCATCTATTAAAAAAATAATATACAGGGTATTCCATTTAAAAAAAAACGGAGAAAAATAATTTTATATTTTAGAAAGTTTGGCGTAGAATTTTGAACATCCTGTATGATCTACGATTTCCATATTTATAGCAAAGTAAGTGCTGACCATCTAAAGTAAATATCTAATATAGTTTTGATTTCAGCGCAGCGGATAAAGAATACTGTACCGTAGTTCTGCTTTCACTTGACAGAGCGGAGGTTGCCGGAGACAGTGTTGCCAGAACTACGAATTAATCCGTAGATTTTTGGCGATTTTGGATACAGTACGTTAATAATAATGGATTTTCTATCATTAAACAATTTAATATATTATATGATTAAAAAAAGAACGGCGTCAGAGTTTTTGGAAATAAATATCGTTGTTATTTCATATATGTAAAATATTACTGTAAATGTCAATAGACTAAACGACTTTTTCGATCCTACGAAATATTCAGTACCTGTGAAAGAGTTTTTATTTTTGTTGTTTATTCTATGTTTAACACGAATAAATGAGCCGTTGGAAACCAGAGTGGTCTAAGTCAAGAAATGTAGTTTTGAGATATGTGGCGTCAAAAAGTAAAATACTCACATAAGATATTAACATTGTAACTTTGGTGTTGTAACAAACTGGGACCGACTTAAATTTTCGCATAAAAGTAGATGGTATTTTTTGTCTGTTTATTTTGTATTTTTGAATTTTTTGACTTGGACCATTCTGGCTTTCAATTGATTGAGACTATTAGTGCATAATCTAAAATATGTCTTCATCTAAATAAAGAAATATATTGAAAAAAACTGTCTACGTCTTACAAATGTTAATAAGTTAATATAACGGTTTAACAAGTTAAGAAATATGTCTGATAGTATCAGAATTATCAAAATCACCCAGTTAAGCAGAATATTTTCTAAAAGTTCTGTGCCGTATTTGTCCTGGTGTAGAAAGAGAAAAGGTATATTTATTTATCCAAAAAAGTCCTTTATGGGTATTTCGCTACTGCACTGCAAGAAAAATCTACAAAATAAAATAGTTATTTTTTGTAAACACTTCTGGCGTTAAACCTAAACGGACGCTGCTTGTCAGAAGTTGTGTTTACAGTTATAAAAATTTGCCTAACAAAGAAAAAAATGCTTAATGTTTCGGAAAGTTTTCTCTTTCCGTCGTCGCACAGTGGGCAAAAATCCAGAAGTATGTTGCAAAAATTCTTTTTTTGTACGATTTCATTCAAATTTGGTAAAAACATTCTATGCTAGTAGCCCGTGAACCCAGTTAGTTTTGGCTGACTTGAGAGTGGTTGGGGGTGGTGGGGGGGATTCATTGGGCAAAAATCCAGAAGTATGTTGCAATTTTTTTTTTGTACGATTTCATTCAAATTTGGTAAAAACATTCTATGCTAGTAGCCCGTGAACCCAGTTAGTTTTGGCTGACTTGAGAGTGGTTGGGGGGGTGGTGGGGGGATTCATAAAATGGGAAAAATCATCTATTGACTAATACAGCTACCAAAAGGCTGGTAAAAGAATATTTTATATTTCACACTAAATTTTACGATTTTGGCAGAGCCAAGATGAAACAGACAAATATTGAGCAATTATTACTCCTCCGGCATATACAGGGTTTGTTCTTTTATATATTGACATCCTCTGTATCTTTTTTTATCTGACGTTTTCGAAAAAAGTGTCTTGAATAAAAGTTTAATGGTCTCGAATACATTTTTCAAAACCAGTCTTCTTTGCATATACAGGGTGCCTTAGAAATCCTGTGCGTGGCCCAACTTTTCTTATTTCAAATTAGTACCCAATTTCTTATTTGATTTTTTATTTTCTCCTAAAAATCCTAACTACTTTTTATGTGTAGCATTGGAAATAATTTGAAATAAGAAAAGTTGAACCATGCCCAGACTTTTTGAAGCACTTTTTGTATATGCAAAATAGACTTTTGGCAAATTTATTTCAAAACCACACTCATTTGACACAGTTTTCGGAAACGTCAAATAAAAAGATAAAAGGGGTGTCAATGTATAAAAGAAAACCCTGAAGTATACTAATCCAATCTATTCAAATTGTTTGTCATTTCAAATAAGTTGGGTCTCTAATAATACCAGACAATATGTGAACAATATTTTATTATTATATTTTAAATAAGTAACCATATTCTGAGAATTAAACAATGACGATTTAGAAAATAACAGAACTTATACCTATTAAAAATATCTAAATTTTATTTTACCATTTACTATTTACTGATATTTTGTTTTCTAACAGCTGGATGCAATGGTCACGAAGTGCACATTTTTAAATCTGAAAGAAAAATCCATTTCATTTAATTTAAAAAATTTGGTACTGTCAAAATTTGTCAATTTGTCAAAAAATGTCATTTGACATTTCTGACATACCCCTTCGGAAATCTTGAGAAAAAAATACGTAACTTTATATTTCAAGTTCTTCTCTAGCTACTATAACAATTAATTTATGAGAAGTATCTTCATAAAGGATCTTACTATACACATACGCATGGAGGCTTACGCTTCCAATAAATTTAATGTTGCGATTTTTTGCGATTTTTTTGACTCAACTTTTATAAGACAGAATATATGCCACTATCAAAAAAACCTTAAATGATTATGTTCTACTTTGACCTTTACCTAGTTTTTATTCAAAAAATCAAAATAAAAGATACTTTTTTACTTACCTTGACATTAAATTTACCGCAACCGGGAATCTACGTAAAACACGTTATGACAATTTTACAATAATTATTGACAGCAAGCTAAAGTCGTCCGATTCAATTGTTATACTACTGTGTCACTTGAATGCAACGCCTACTATTTAGAAAATTGTAGAAAAAAGGCAGTTATTGGACACAAATTTACTGAAAATGTAGGTTTTGCGCAAAGTTCGTTTTACAGCCCCTCGAAAGAGACTCCGAATATGCTTTTTTGTTAGTTTTATGTGATTTCCTCTTAACTAATATGTTTCCAATCTAATGTTATTGTCATAAATGCTAACTGTGGATGTTATTTTTTGCAACTTGGTTTGGACATATTGCCTACTGTGCGTCGGAAGCAAAAAAAATATAAAGAAACAAGAAAAAAACTATTTAAAATATTTAAATTGAACTATTCGAGAACACTTTACTTTTTAAAACAGATACGTCTACAAGAAATCGTTGACGTTCTGTTAAAATGACATTATATTAAGTTAAACTTCAAAATTAACAATTACTACCTGATAACAATTACTTAATAAGGTAAAACCAAAAAGCCCAAACTTTCTGTATGATTATTTTTAAATTTTACGTATGTTATGTTTATTTATGTTCTTTAAAATCAAAGAAGCGATTGCCATACATTACTAACATTTACAGATGCATGAGCAATACATTTATTTTTATTAGATTGAATTAAAAAAGCCTCTTTTATTTTTCTTTTAGTGGCTATCGCTTCTTTCATTATAATTTTGGCGTTATTAAAATTTATTCTGTGCCCTGTGTCCCATGAATGCCGACAAATCTTAGATTTGCGAAAATCTCCTGCCTTTCTTAAATAATCTTTATGTTCTTTAATTCTAACATTTAAGGGTCTATATGTTTCACCAATGTAAAACTTATCGCATTCACAGGGTAGTTGGTATATTACATTTTTTGTTTGTTGTTCTGTATTTATTGGTTTAGTATGTGATAAAATGGATCTAAGTGTATTTTGTGTTTTGAAAGATGTTCGTATGTTATATTGTTTTCCTATCCTTCTTATTTTTTCCGAAACGCCTCCTATGTATGGAATTGTAAGTTGTATATATTGTGTATTGTTATCATTGTGTCTATGATTTGGGGTTTGTATTTCGTTTAATGTTTTGTCAATAAAATATGGTGGATAGTCGTTTTTTATTAATGTATTTTAATGGATGTATGCTCAATATCTAAATAGAGATTCTATCTAAATTGTGTATATTTATTGCTTCTACACCTTTAGGTTCACAAAACCCCTAGATATGCTGGCGGTATAAACCTCTATAAACTGAGATTTTTTTCATTACAGGCAATCAAAATTCGTAAAACACATGATTGAATATTTTTAGTCTGCCCCTGTCTTATTTACCAGCTGGATGTATGCTCAGTATCTAAATAGAAATTCTATCTAAATTGTGTGTGAGTTAGACATTTTAAAATGTAACCATTGTATTTCGAGCGAAGATACTTGTCGGGGCAAAACGCTTCATTGTCATTATTATGAAAAATTAATTTTGACGAGTAATTGCCTTATCCAATCAACTTTTTGAAGTAAAGTTAGTTCTGTTAATCACTCTATGCCGTAAAAAATATACTAACAAAATGCCAGAGTGGTTAATAGGTGGTTAAGTCTGACTTGTACCACTCTGGCTTTCTGACATAACTCGTTGCGTTTTTACGGTTACAATTTTGAGTGAGATATAAGAAAGTTTTTATAGATTAACATTTTTAAAACCTCGTGTGTAGATAGAAAACTACATCAACAATCGTAATATATTGAAATTAGAAAATCCAAAAAAATTGACTTAGACCACTCTGCTGGTTTTCAACGACTCAAATAAACGCGGATTTTTCATCCAAAGATATCTTTGTCTGGATTTCAGTTCCTCACCGTCTTAGATATGCATTCGCTAGCCGAATTAGAGAAAATGAGTGTTTTATGCGTTGGTCGCAGAACGTGTAGAGGCTCCATCGTACAGCACTTGAGACATAAGGGGAAATCAATTCAGCACGAATTGCTTATGATGTTGCGTATTTTCCCAATTCTTTCAATCAATGGTACTAGGTTTAAATCAAATTTCCTCTTAAAGGTATTGGTGACTGGACAAAGAGGCTTGGATTTGTCTGTATTTTCTATTTTTATTATATTATCTTTTATTAAATAGGCTACGCCAAACCAAAACAAATGTTAAAGGGTTTATAAAATATAATAGAAAAAAATACTAGTCTTAGTAAAAATTTATATTTTTAATAAATATCTATATTATATTTACATATATAACAGTTGACATAACTTACATACTTTTTGCAATAATGAGCTTGGAGAATATTCTAGAACTGTTTAATTTTTGCCGTTTTCAGTAGTTTTGTAATATTGACCTTTATTTGATCTAGAACTTCTTCTGTGGAATTTGTGCCGCCGATATCCTTGGTCTGAATTTTATCTTCTGACAGAGTTTTAGTTATGGCGGTGTCTATTAAATCTGCATATTCGTCTTTATCAAGATATCGTAAAAGATCTATAGATGCTTTTAACATGGCTATTGGGTTGATATACGATCCACCTTGAAAGAGAAAATTGGATCTGATTAGGTTGAGGATATTCTACAACATCTAGTGATAATGATTTCGTGTAGTGTTCCATTTTGGTTGCAATTGGCAGTGCCGCCTTTAGTATAAGGGGAACCACGGGCATGCGACAGCGAAGGGACCTTGGACGGAGTCCATTTGTAAAATCGCGGTATTTTGTCCAATTATTTCTCCGGAACTTTAATGCGTAAACGCAGTTTCGTATAAATTTTAATATTGGGCTTTATTATACGGGGTTTATCGAATGGTTGTTTTTTACCTTAACTTTAAAACACCCTTTACAATATTTTCGTGAACAAATTTTCCTAAAACATTATTTTTCCGTCAGAACCATATCTTCTGAGCATTTTGTTTTTTGTTTCATGTCAACACATGTTTTGGTTAATTTTTAAGAGTGAAATGAACTTGCTACAAACAATTTGCAAATTTTTCAATTATCATTACTTTTTGATGTTATTTTTTAATATAACGAAATGGTTTGGGTGACTAACGTCATAATGTCATATTACGCTGTAAACTCTATACTAAATTAAAAAAAAACGTTAAAGAGTAACGATACAGTTCTGGTTTTAATAAACATTAATAACGATAAAAGAACTAACGATGTTAAAGAAAACATCTGTAATAATGAACTATACAAATATAAAATAAAAACTCATAAAAAATATCCTTATACTTATTGCCTCCCTTGGCTGCTATAACTGCCTATAGACGTCCGTTTATATTGTTATAACAAGGCTGCATATATCATATTGCGTTATGTTTTCCCATTCTTTAAGGACCAAGCGAAGTTTATTTAATGAAACTGGTACCGCTTTGCGACCACTAATCCTTCTGCCAAGAATTTCCCAAACGTGTTCTACAGTTCTATAGGATTATAAGTATTATATTATTTCTTTAGTATAAGGGGAACCACGGGCATGCGACAGCGAAGGGACCTTGGACGGAGTCCATTTGTAAAATCGCGGTATTTTGTCCAATTATTTCTCCGGAACTCTTCTTTTTCTTATTCGCTATCCCCAAGAATTTTCTTCTTAATTTTGGTTATAATTGATCGGTCAAGACTTCCTCTTTGTATATATATATATATATATATATATATATATATATATATATATATATAGCATATATATATATATATTTCCATATAGACTTCCTCTTTGTATATAACATATATATATATATATATATATATATATATATATATATATATATATATATATATATATATATATATATATATATATATATATATATATATATATATATATATATATATATATATATATATATATATATATATATATATAGCTCAATATAATTACCAAAGCCACCTCGTCATCATTAGCGTAACTAGCAATTTATCTTGAGGTTGAGCCCAGGGGGGGGCCTAGGGCTTTTGTTTTTTTTTAAATGAAAAATAATTTTAAAAAACACATTTTTTGAATAAAACGTTTACACGAATTTCTCTATCAATAAATTTCATAGACTTGGTTATCAAACCGTGTTCCCGTAGATTACTTAAATACCTACAAATTTAAAAAAAAATAAAAATTAACACATTTTTTGAATACAACAAAATAAAATTAACTAAACAAAAATAAAAAACGTCATTTTTACTGCATCACTAGCAAATAAATATTAATACGTAGCCAAGAGTCATAATTCAAGATTTCTCTGGGGGTGCCCAGCAGTGCCTGGGGGGGGCGGCACCCCCAGCCACTTTAGTTACGCCAATGCTCGTCATATTGAAAAAAAAACATCAAAATGAAATAATAATTAAAAAAAAATTAAATTCTCGGTGGCAAGTTCATTTCGCTCTTAAAAATTAATCAAGGCATGTATTGACATGATCCAAAAATTAAAATGCCTAGGAGACATGGTCCTGATCGAAAATAGTGTTTTAGGAAAATTTGCTCACGAAATTATTGCAGGGTGTTTTAAATTTAAAGTAAAAAACAACCTTTCGATTAACCCTGTATAATAAGCTGAATACTAAAATTTATAAAAAATCTTAGTTTACGAATTAAAGTTGATATATTTATATACAGTTTACTAAAAAAAATCATGAAAATAGAGCTAAAAATATAACATTTTAAATTTGATGAAAAACATTTTTTGAGCGCAGATACGTACCAAACGTAAGATGTCGTGAACCAACTTCAAACAAAGCACAACTACTTCCATAATTTCTTCCTGACAATAAACCGGGACCTCCTATTAGACCCGTTGCTATATTTGATAAAATATTCCCGTAAAGATTGGGCGTTAGAATCATATCAAATTGTGATGGGTTTTGGACCATTTGCATGGTACAATTGTCGACAATCATATCCGTTACGTTTATGTCTGGATAGTTTTTCGCTACATCTTTGATCACTTTCACGAATAAACCATCAGCCAGTTTCCTAAAAGTTAAATTATAGTATAAGATCACGACTACGATTGAGAATCCCTCTAGTCATATATGGAATTTATATCTAAAGAACTGAAAATCCAAACTACCGTATGATCGAAAAAAAAACGGCGTCAGCGATGGATATGAAATGAAGATCGTTGTCATTTTATATGTAAATTTATATGGGAAATGTCATCGATAGTCATTTCCTAGCCAACTGGACACCGTTTTTTCGATCATACGGTATATTTGTGTGATAGGTTATTGGTACGTTTTTTGTGTGACTAAACATTATTTAGTTCTATAATCAGAATTTTTGCCGAAATGCAAGCCAATTTGACTTATTTTTTAATCTAGCCTAGCCTATATTTAAACGTAAAATTAGGCAAGAATTTTAAAAATTGAATACATGCGAATCATATCTTATGCAGTTATGTAGTATGTAAGATAACTACAAAACTATTCCCAAGTAGCATTTTCACGACTTGCGACCACATGTTTACTAAACACAACGTTGGATTAGTTACAAAAAAGTACAAAAAATAGTTAGCTCTGTACCTTAGGTATTAAAATAAATGTAAACATTGTTGTAACGTTGTTCCGACGTTGAACTAGTACTACAACAAAGTAAAATCTTCTGCGACGTCGAATAAACGTTGTCTTGTAACCTTTTTTGCTTAAGTGATCTTTAGGTGATTCGGACAACGTAGTTACAATGTTGGGCAATAAAAAGTTTTTCGACGTCACTTTCAGGACCTATTCCAACGTTATGCAAACGTCGTCTGTTTTACTAATTCCAACGTTGTTTAGATTTCCTTATTCTTACGTTGGTAGGACGTCGAGCCACTACCTTTTTGCAACTGTATTGAACTATAACCTTAAATCTTAAATTTTCATTTCATTGTTCTGTTCAGTCAGACAGCTCAGTGCTGTTTTTGTTTTTATAAAAAAAACTTAATTAAAATGGGACGTAAGAAAGGTACATATAAAACTCAATTTAAATATACATCGACATATTACAGATACTTTATCCACTCTCTCGTTTATTTAGAATATTTGTCGTTTGACAATTGATGGCCATGTCTAGACTCTAGGATGACTAAATTAGGCAATCTTGCGACTAGTATACTACCTGTTAAGGCTTAACTGCAACTTTATTAGTCCAGTATGCGACTACTCGAACTACTCCATCTTAATCTCCAAAACAACAAAGTGAAAGCCGCCATATTGTTGAATAAGAAAATGTTTCGTTCCTAAAATAGCAGTTCCTGCTTTTTGAATACATTAACTTGAAATATTTGACCCTAAAGAACACGCGGAAACAATTTTTTTTCGACTGCGAATAAATTATTCTCATTTTACTAAAAAAAATCAAGAATTTTTTTTAAACTTCTTTAATTTTAAGGCCCATTAGTATTTTTCAAAGTAGAAACAATACATTTATCAATAAAGTTGTTTGCGTTTAACTTATTTGCCTTAGGTAACGAGTTACAGAGTTGGTTAATGTGTTTCAATAATTATGATCTTCAAACATCCTCCACACTTAAATGCTTTTGTTTTGTTTTCCTTTACTGCCATCTGGCATATGTCTCTAACTAAATCATAAAAATAATATTTTTACTATAATTATCCCAATTTAGGATAAAACGCGACTTAGACGCCATATTATTATAGTTTTGTATTTCTGTGAATTACAATTTTAAACAACGTTGCAGTTTGTACTAAATTAGGCTGTTAGCCAACGTAGGTATCCAACGTCGTTTCGACCCAAAAATTATTCTCCAAACTAGTGCAGACTAGGGTTGGCACGAGGTTGTGCCGACGTTGCGCCCCGACGGACGTTTGGTCGCGTGACACAACGTTGTCCCGACGTGCAAATGCTGCTGGGGTTACAATGTTATACGAAGTACGGGCAAAGGTTAGTCTTGGGTCGAGATTTCCGTATGTAAGAACAGTGCAATGCGTTTATAATGTACTGAACAAAGAGAGAACAGTAAAAACGTTGCCAAACATATGAAATAAACCGAGTAATTTTGCACATTGCTAAGAGACGTGGAAGGGGATATAGCAGATTCGTCTCGGTCGATCGACCCAATCTGTACCATATCAGTACTTAAAATTCTAGGGAGAGTGTACGCCATGCGTTCAGCTTCACGATTTAATTACGTCTCGTGATACTTTATTTATTTATTTATTAACGAGTCGTTGTAATTTTCCCTATAGCTTGTAAATTTTTAAGTGCAAGTTAAGAAACACTTTTGGTTAAAATAAGTGGAATTGAGTTGGTGTTCGACAGTGGTCGCGCTATTAGAACTCTGAATTCAAAAATCGATATCTCGAAATCCATTAGAAATAATTGATTGTAGTTTTTTTCAAAAACTTTCTTAATATTTTTGGTATATTTTGTTCGCAGACAGTATATGAAAATCTTTATAAATAAAAAGTTACATACTGTTGAAAATTGCAATGCACTAAAAGTAAATGGGTATTTTTTTTAAATTTTGAATTAAAAATTAAATTTCTTATTTAAACATCTTGTAAAAGATCCGAACTTCAAAATAAAAAAATAGTTTTTAAATCGTAATTACTGATGTTTTTTCATTATAAAAAAATACACACCCTAACGATGTCCTTATTATTCCATTTCAGATGCTCAGAAACATATCTAATGGTTTTATCTAGTTATATTTTCGAAAATATAAGTCTTTTCAAAAATAAACGGTTTGTTATCGTGTTTTTACTTTACTTGATAGAGAAAGGGGTGCCGGAGTAATGTGGCAACGCCGCAACTGCACACCGTCGCATTTCTCTCACTCCGACTTAATAAGATCTCTATGCGATTTACTTCCATACATGTAAATACCGACCCAAACGTAAGAGTTGTCAGCACGGTATAATGTTATGCATAATTTATGCACAATTACTAGTAGTCCAGCAAATAATGACACGAAAAGACGCAAGTCTTGGCGTAATTCCTCGACCATTAATTTTTAGGCGGATTACCTTTTAGAAGAAAAACTGTAACACCGTGCTCGGTCCCAAAAAATAGCCGCAAATGGCCGAGTGTGCAATTTACAAACATTGAAAATAACGGAATAAAAAATGAAGCTGAGTTAATTACCGGTAATTAATGACCCTTATCCGCCTGAAAAGTCCCAGTCGACGAATTAAGCCGTGGTTTCAACCTTCATTTACTGGACTATAGGTCAAGGCGTGCTTGTAATTTGAGAAATAATCAGAGAAAGAAACTCTAATTATTTTCATTGCTGTAAAGTAATAATTTGGTATTGAAGGATTGATTTTGGCACTTTAAATAAAGCCAATCTGTTAAGAGTGTATACCTATACTGTATTTTTATCGTTATAGGTACAGGGTGGGTTAAATTCGACGCTTTTAAAAGGAAACACCCTTTTCTATAGGAGATAGACGAAAACTAATATCGGTGTCTGGAGCTCAAATTTTATCAAAAACATGATGGTGAAAACCGCACATTCATATCTGTTACCGTTTCGGAGTTTGGTTTGGTGGGGTGTTTATCAAAAATGTGCATTATTAACAAATCGCTGTAACTTCTTTGCTATGGAAAGTTTTCTATTTTTATGAAAACATTTCCAAAGCACCTTTTTACGTAGAAGTTAATAGTTCAAGTATAATTTATTTAAAATTAATAATTTAAGAGTTAGGTTAGGTTAGGTTAGGATATCAACAGAAAAATTAATTTTTTATTTGGGACGCCCTGTATATTTTTAATTAAATGAATAGAACCTTTCCAAAAATATAGCACACTTGATATTTTGTTATAACCATCTTTGAAATACAGAATTTTTAAAAGTTCGCCACTTACTAGTAGGCTTATTTGGACCCCTTATTGATGATCTGCCCCTAATGGAACTCGAAAACATATCTTTCCAGCAAGACGAGGCACCGCCTCAGAACGCTGAAGTTATCAACTAACTTTTGCAGCCAATTTCAAAAATAATTGATTAGTTAACCAAGATCCCAGCCGTTGGCCGTCGGGGCAGCCGGACTTAGTGCCTATGGATTTTTATCTTTGCGAAAGAATAAGAGTTCTTATTTTTAAATTGCCTGAATAATCTAGACAGGAATTAGAACTACTTAGCGGTTATGTGAGGTTATCTTTCACCCCCATTGAGTTAATGAATTCCCCAAGAAATGTTCAAAAATGGTCCCGTCTGTCCATAACAGAAGACGGTCGACATGTCGAACACCTGTAGCAAAATCTCATGTCTTGGTTTGCTATTAAATTTTATTGTTATTAGATAGAGTTTAAATGTGTTGATGTTGTTAAATACAGTTTAAATTGTTATAAAATTCTAAATCTCTCATTGCAAATATTATTTGCGTTTTAATTGCTGCTCACAGTTACAATTTTTTTGCATTACAGCCGGCGCGGTTCTAAGCCTACTTATTCAAAGTGGGCGAATTTTTAAAAACTCTATATCTCGAAGAGGGAAGAGGAGTCGAGGAAAATATCGTAATGGTATAATAATAGTATGTTATATTTTTGGAAAGGTAATTTTAAATTCTTTTCAATGAATTAAAAATATACAGTGTGTCCCATATAAAAAAATCAAATTTTCTGTTGATAATTCCTTAATTAATAATTTAAAAAAAATTATATTTAAACCATTAAATTATACGTAAAAAGGTGCTTTGGGAATGTTTTCATAAACATACAAAATTTTCCATAGCAAAAAAGTTACAGCAATTTGTTAAAAATGCACATTTTTAGCCGACCATACCAATAGGTATGGTAGTCTATTAAGATCGGCAAAAAAAAGTTTTTTTAATTTTACTCAAAATGAGTTATTTGGGTCATAAATGACTTAAATACAAAATATTTTCATGGTGTCTGTCTGTCTGTCCGTCTGTCCGTCTGTAACACGATAACTCAAAAACCGCTGAACCGATTTTAACCAAATTTGGCACAAAAATACTGTGGCACCCGAGAATCTGGCTATTAGTTTTTGGTGGGGGTGGGGGGTTGGTAAGGGGGTATGGGAGGGGGTTAAAAATTTTAAAAAAATCGTAATTCCAAAATTACAGTAGCTAGCGAAACGCGGTTCTCAAATTAAGATTAGGAATAATATTTGCAACAAAATTTGTAATAACATCAAAATCAGTCAAAGTCGCAGTTTTCGAGATATTAACATATTATTTTAGTATGGGCGGCTATACGTGCCTCCCGGCGCCAATTTTTGAAAAACCCCCCGTAACTCATAAACGCTAACAGATATCGACGTGCGGTTTTCACTATCATGCTTTTGATAAAAATTGAGCTCCAGACACCGATATTTGTTTTCGTCTATCTCCTGTAGAAAAGGGTGTTTTCCTTTAAAAGCGTCCAATTTGACCCACCCTGTACTGTCTTTTCACGAAGAAGCATATGACAAGTGAAGATTACTAGCTGGTATTGCATAAGCTATGATTATATTTAAAATAAAAAAAAACGTAAATGAATTAAAAAGAAAGCTCTACTTACATAATATTCGCTTTATGAACTATAGTGACCTTTTTTCTATTCTTCTTGATTGCAAAATTAAAACAGAATTCTGCAAATCTTTCTGTGTTTTCTCTGGTTATAATTTTGAGACTTTCTACCACGCCTGGTCTAGCTTCGTGTTCGAGCATTGCATATTCTCCTAAAAATAAGTTATGTAAATATTGTTAATGAATTTTCTATTTTTTTATACAAGGGTAGTCTGAAAAGTTCTTTGAACTCCTTACCTTCGGTATTTTGTCTACAAATGTACATATCTAAATTTGAATATTTACATTTAATATTCTGAAAACTTTTAACATGTATTATATTGACAAATAGATCCAGATGCGTTCTTATTGCAATATTAGGATTGTTTACAATATGAGGAGTGGCAAAATTTCCCTAAAACAATAAAAATACAATAACGTACCTTTTAACGTCATACCTACATACAATACTATCCAAAAAACGCCCTGCGAGTTGGCTTTGAAATATGAATCAGTATATTTTTGTAAAATCAAATGGGGAATGTCATATACAAGATGTTTCAGAAAACATGTGCCATCTCTCTTAGGGAGATTCCCCACGTAAAAATAAGATTAATTTTTCATATCAACATAGGTCCGATTCTGTTTTGTTTCGTAGCTACAGGGTGTTAAAATCTTAATAATCTTTCTTTTTTTTATAATTTTCTTCCAAGTACTTTTAGTGATTCGAATGAAATTTTGAGGGTAAGTTACTATAAGTGCTACATATTTTAATGCTAAAAAAGTGTTGATAAATTCATCAGGCTTTATTATTACGTCCATATGGGTTATCAGTTATCATTGAAATATATTATTAAAGTGCGCCACTGACTTTTTTCTTTTGATATCAGAATTGTGTAGGCCGTTTAATACCAATTAAAAGTTATCTCTGGATATTTTGTCGAATTCGGCCACCTTGATGAGATAAAGGCAATTTTATTAATCACAATTAATAAAATTATAAATAAAAATAAAATTAATAAATTATATATTTTACCTAATTTATTACTAATTATTATAACTGTTAGTTATTAGTCCAACCTACAGTAATTTCAAATAAAAAAAAATAATGGTATTTAAGGTAATAATTACAAAAAACCTAATGTTAAAAATTTTTACATCCTGTAACTAAAACTATGCATTTCCATACCATGATTATAGGAACTTTTTTTCATATATTTTTGATTACGAATCAATGGATACTTATTTAAAACTCTCGCAAATTAATGATATTAAAATATTTTAAAGGTTGCTATTAAACTTGGATCCAGGCAAATTAATAAAATTGCGTTTATCTATCTCATCAAGGAGGCCGAAATCGACAAAATATCACGAGACAACTTTTAAACGGCATTAAACTGCTTACACTATTTCGCTAACAAGAGAAAAAAATAATTGGCGTACATGCTTTTTTTAGAAAAATATTCCAGTGATAACCCATATACAATACAGGGTGCTACAAATTCGAGGTACGAGCATTGGTATCTCGGTAACCGTAATAGATACGAACATGGTTAAATTAGGGCAAAGTTGCGCTTTGTGAAGTTCACCAAGATGCCATCAAAAAAGTTTTAAAAATTTCAAGGATTGCTGAGTTTTTTGGAAAAAACGAATTTTTTGGAAAATCAATTTTATTTTTTCCTGTCGTTACTTTAAAGAAAATCAAAAAACTAATTGCACATTCTCATAGCCACTTTATTAGGGCTAGCTGATAGTATTTTTAGATTTTCAAATTAACTTAATTATTTTAAATACGGACCTGCATTTTTTATTTTCGGTTTTGAAAGAACTCGGTCTCCTGACTACAATGATGATGAAGTCCGACTCTGTTTTTTTTAATTATTTAATCTGATTATATTCATTGTAATATACATATTGATCAGCGCTAATTAACATTGAATAAGGAAAATCAAGCCAATTGGAAGATTCAAATAAATTATATCCAGGTCGGCAATTTAAAGATATTATTTTTATTTGTTTTATTGTGAATTTGAAAATGTCAGTGTGCGATCTAATAATATGCGTAATATTCATCGTAGTTATTATAAATAAATAAACTTCTTCAAACTAGTTTCTAATGTTTTACGAAAGGGTTACAACCCTCCCGATTGCACAAATTTATTTTTCGTTCAATTTTATTTATAGCTCTTTGAACTTTCTTCTTATACTTCCGAAAGCATTTTATACTCTTTATTCTAAATGTTGAGATGTATTGATTTCACTTTTACAAATGACGTGAAGTAATGTATTCATTTGTATATTATTTTTTATTATTTTATTGCATTTGATTTTTAATATTCAATGTTTTACCTCACGTCATTTTTAAGTTTGAAAGCTTATCGATATTGTAACGATAAATAGATTAAATATTTAAAAAAAAACAGAGCCGGACTTGAAATTAGTTTAAATAAATTGTGTTCAAATGTCTGAAACAAAAAAAATATTAAGTGTGGCATATCATTGTACTCAGGAGACCGAGTTCTTTCAAAACCTGAAATATAAAATGCAGCACCGTATTTAAAAAAATCAAGTTGGCCTCTGTATCTCATAAATTATCAGTTAATTTGAAAATCTAAAAATACTACCAGATAGCCCTAATAAAGTGGCTATGAGAAAGTGCAATTAGTTTTTTGATTTTTTAAAAAGTAACGACAGGAAAAAATAAAATTGATTTTCAAAACATCCGTTTTTCCAAAAAACTCAGCAATCCTTGAAATTTTTAAAACTTTTTTGATGACATCTTGGTGAACATCCCAAAGCGCAACTTTGCCCCAATTTAACCATGTTCGTATCTATTACGGTTACCGAGATACCAATGCTCGTACCTCGAATTTGTCGCACCCTGTATACACGTTCCTGGTGAATATGTCGACACTTTTTTAGCTTTAAAATATGTCGCATTTATTAATAATAACTCAATAGTATGTTTTATCCACAAATTTTCATTCGAAACGCTAAAAGTACTTCGATGAAAATTATAATAAATCGAAAAGATATTAAGTCTTTAACACGCTGTAGATACGAACCAATGCAGAATCGGACCTATGTTGATATGAAAAACAAATATTATTTTTACGTGAGGAATCTTCCCACGAGATATAGCACATGTTTTTTGAAACACCCTGTATAGAGTGTCATTTCAAAATCAACAGAACTGCTTTTTTTTAAGCATGGTCGTTTTTTTCAAGCGATTACAAAAATGACTACCAAAGAGTAGGTCGTCAACAAATTTCTATCATGGTGGAAAACTTCACCTGGCTATAGAGGCATTAGAAACAGTTAATATCAGAGCATTTTTGATAGGATTTTATTTAATCTAAGTAGTTCATAATGTTGATCATCTGACCAACAATTACTATCTTTAAAATAATTAATTTCTATGAAACGATTTTTATGTTGTTATAATAACTTTGTTATTATTATTCTTATTCGGCTAATAATCTTATTCGGCTCTTAATCTTGAGCCGCTTCCAAGCTAAGCGAACAAAACGTTCGCGAACATATATAATTAGCACTATATACTCGTAGCAGCAGGTCGTAAACGACGGCACAGCCCATCGCATCGGTCCCGAGGACTGAGGTTAGGGGAAGAATGCGACAACCAGTTTACTCTATAGATCTAGGATGGGTTTAGGTAGTCGCTGTTTTTTCGAGTGCTCGGCTTAATGTGAGTTGAAAAAATAAATATGGATGATAAGGTGAAAATTGCGGCAGCTGCTTTTATTGTATTGGCTGATGCTTGCAAAAAAAAAACAAAAAAAGAAACTCTCTAGCAAAACAAAATTGATGCAAAGCTGAGAAAACTACAGTGCAAGCATTTTATTAAATAAATTAACCGGTTAACAGTTTAAGAACTTTTGTCGTTGAAGAATCAATATTTAGCAGGCGGAGGGTTACAGGGGTCTTTTGGCAGATTATTCGTTATAGTGTATATTTAAGACCTGTATTCATTTTTAGCCGATTCTACCAGGTGTTTCTCAGAAGGGGCTTTCCTTTTTTACTTTTTTATTTTTTCAGATAATACAATGAAATTTGGTTTGTTAGTATATGACATAAATCGGGATTGATTGACGTATTCAATTATTTTCGGTCGCTTCCTGTTTCAGCGGAAATGACTACAACTTTGGATTTTTAGATTGTATCCTAAGTACTTTTTTACTTTATTTGATAGAAAATGACATTCTGAATAGAATGACATACCATACGTCAATTTTAGACATTTCCAATTAAATAAAAATAGCATTTTAAATTTCAATCTAGAGTGCCAAGACTGAGTTAAAACTATTAATTTGTAATCTAACAACTTTGGAAACATCTATTTGATCGTGTATTTTTTTTTCGTATCCTTTCATGGCCGCTTAAAAGATGCCCAAATCCTATTTTTAATGACAACTGAAATTTTTCAAATGGTATGAGGCTGGCTCAGCATATTTGGAAAAAGCATTTTTTACGAATAATTTGGTACTACATACCTACTTGGGGTATTTGGAGTAAAATTGTCGTTACGTTTATTTATTGCCATTTTTTAAATGAAAATGTCAAAAGTTGACATATACGGTAAAATATTAAGTCAAAGCCTTTTTTGATTGACTATGGCAAGTTCTTCGACTTACAAGACAGTGAAATGTATACTGTTCATCTAAAATACCAACGCCCCATTAATATAAGATACCACCTATTTTCCTCCCAACAAAACATTCCTAATATCCCTGTATCCACTTTTTCCGACACACTGTCCCCTCCATGGAAGGATCCTATTTCAGTTAATATGGAACTTTGTAAATTAAAAAAATCTGAAACATCCAGATATCTTTACAAAACTAGTCTAATACAAATCTTAGACAAAAAATATCGTGATTATATTTGTTTTTACACAGATGGTTCTAAATCTGACAAAGGTTTTGGCTGTGCTTTTTACAGCCCGGTTGCTAATAAAAAAATCAGATTACCTAATTTCTCTGGCATTTTAACAGCCGAACTCACAGCTATTTATCAGGCTCTAATCCAAATTCATGCATGCGACCGATTGAAGCATTAATACTATCTGATTCACTTAGTTCCCTCAACAGTATTGCTTCTTTAAACCTCAATAACTCTCTAACCTGCAGCATTCGAGATCTAGTATATAAACTTACTGAAAGAAACTACAATGTTAACTTTATGTGGATTCCTGGACACTCTGACATTGCTGGTAACGACCGAGCAGACAAACTGTCTAACGAGGCAACGCTCTTACATAATATTGAAGGAACTCCATCCGTTGTCGCTTTCAGAAATTTCCACAAAAAAGTGTTCTTCAGTATACTTCAAAATGAATGGGACATCCTCGAGGGAACTAATAAACTTAGATCACATATGCCACTTCTTCATCTGTATCAAAATATATATTCTCTTGAACGCGGATCTTTTTGTAAAGTTGTTAGAACCCTCACAGGACATTCATATCCTACAAAATCATATATTATCAGAAATGAACCCCCTCCGAAATGCACTTTATGCAATAATTTAATGTCAATGAGACACATTCTTTTTGAATGCTTACCTGTTGTCTTGCTTACCTGTTGGTCTAGATTCTTTAATGCTGTTACCTATGAGAATATTTTCGCGCCTTTTAACATTTCGAAGATTAATAAAGTTATGGAATTCTTAGAAAGCATCAACATAACGAAAAAACTTTAATTTCTAATAATTTAAAATGGCCTCATGTTGACTAAAGCTTGTTACTGAGCGCTAAAAAACCCTCGTTGTTGACGCGCTCTATAAACCAATACCTCTCTCTCTCTCTCTCTCTCTCTCTCTCTCTATCATATACGGTAAAAAAATATCGAGGGTACCATTTACATCAAAAGTTGTTGTCATTTCCGGTGAAATAGGTAGTGACCGAAAATAAATGAAAACGTAGATCAATCCTGATTTATGTCTTATACTAACATACCAAATCTCGTTTTTTATCTAAAAAATTAAAAAAGTTATAGAAGAGAACCACTTTTCAGAAACACCCGGTATGTTTATTTCTAAAAATGTAATGGTACAATTTCATTTCCGGTGTCAAACTTCCTATTAAGTAGTAATTTTTAATTTCAGAATCCCATAATAATTCCGGTTTTTAATAAAAATAATCATAAAGGTCTTTATTAACAAAAATGAAATTATATGGACGAAGCTACATAGCTATTCACACTCAACCCACAATAAAATTAAAATTATAAAATCTTTTCTTTGTGTAAACAAATTAGTTGTAAATGTTTTTCACGATCCCAGTCAACAACTGCGTCTCCCATTGTCGAATACTCGGTAAAAAATAAAAATCACAGATGGACGCCCGAAATTAAATGAGACCCTTCCAAGTCCGCTACAATGTCCGCCGAAATGCACGCCATTCGCTCCTTTTGATGTACTGGCACCCGTCGGAAAAAGAACGCGCGCGCTCTAGCATAGGCAGACGCACGCTCTGGCGTACAAGCTAGCCGTTCGGCGCTCCGCGCTCCTTAATAGGCCTAGGCTAGCTGTACTTAGGGTTCCCAACCATCCCAGTTTAACCGGGATTAACCAGGAATCAGAAAGTTTGTCCCGGCGAAAATTTTGCCTTGGCCGGGACCAGAAAATCACATTTACATATAATATATTTGAATTTTTAATATTTAATGTTTTGTTTCAATTATTTAAAAACTTAAAAATAATTGTCCCGGAATCGCCTATGCTCAAGTTGGGAACCCTAGCTGTACTTGTTGGCTTTATTATTTATTAATCTACCTATCTCACAATTTTCACTTAATATCTGTTTAATTATACAGGTTCGCGAACATTTTATTCGCTTAGCTTGGACGCGGCTTTATATTCCGCAAATACTACAACATACATATATTATACCTTTATGCCCACACCATTTCTGTGCATGGATATGACAGCGGTTTCTCCGAATTCTGCCGCTTTCGCTTCATCCCCTGTTCCAGAATATAAAATTTCTTCAAAATCAACGGGAACACGTGCTCTTTTATAAATATCTTTTACATAGGACATAAGAATGGGTCCCGGGTCTACACCTGAAAATATTGTCTAAGTTAACATGGAAAAACTCGGTGTTTCGTCACTGAAACAGAAGATATAAAATGAAAAAAAATATTTTTTCGTAAAATACGGCAGAGTTTTAAAATTTGCTAGTATAAAATATAATCTAGTGACAGTTTGTCTGAACATCAACGCTATGAGACGTGTTTGTGATAAAGATCCCAGAATTTGTGTTATAGTTTCATCAACATAATTTACCTACAACCTACAACCACTATGTAAAACAGGCGAAAATACCTGATCTTTCCGTGCAGTTTGGAATACAAAGACTTTTATCAAGAAGGTAAATTTCTTAGAAACTTAAAAAATAATATTTTTTTTGTAAATTCTTTGATCACATTGTATAATATTTGATAATGAAATTGTAGGTAAATATCAAATATTAGTTAGATTGGGTTTTTTACTTTTTGTGACGCACACTGTATCTTATTAACTAATTTATATCATTTTTTAATTGTTTTGTGATTATCTGTACAATGTTTTAATCTAGGAGTCAAATTTAATTTGTTCGCTCATGTAGGACAGCACACAGAATCAAACACTGAATATTTGTTATTTGCTAGTCAAACAACTATTTTTGTTTAACATTAGATTCTCTGAGTTTTGAGGTCTGAATTAACAGAGTTGTTTTTAAAAAACGATTTTATTGTTACAAACGTTCTCGACAAAGTACAGAGAGTGAAAAAGTCTGCTTTGAACCGTGCAGTTCGCTTTTATATGTGACATAATGTAAAATAGGCATTTAGTATTTAATTACAATGAAATAACACTTATTTATACATATAACTCTCTGTGTATTTAATCAATTTTTATGGCATATTTTTGTTATATATAGACATATATACGTCATGGAAATTTTCTTTTTTATTAAACAGTTTTTTTCTATAACATTTGTTTAATAAAGGAAGAACATTTCATGTTAAGTGCAAATATAACAAAGAGTTGGCAATGTTTGCATTATTTGATTGAGTGTTTACTTAATGTTCAGAGTAAAAATTAGTTATTATATTGTTTATGGTGATATATTATGTTAAATAGTAATAATTATGGATTAAGTGATTAAAAATATGTGTTATTTTTGTATATTTTGCTTTTTCCCTTTATTTAGTTTTATAGTATATATGTCGGTTTTCTTATTTACGTCATGTACGGTCATAAAAACAATGTACAGAGTATCACACTTTAGATGCAATTTTTTTGCGCTTATTAATTAGAATGTAAAATGTAGAACGAGTGCGAGGGAGGCAATCTCTGCGATCTTAAAGATCTATTGTGTCCCCTTTCTTGAGTTATAACCCATCATACATGTCCACCCCGTGTCATGCAGTTTTAGGGGGGACAGAGTATTTCCCGTCCTCCTCTGGGAGTACAGATGTTCATCCTCCGAGGATATACACCCTTCCACGGTTGGGGTTTGGTCCTCCGTGCCCTTGTAAGGACTTTGTCTCCGGCTAGGTACCCGTGAGGTGGGGGCTGGGGGATCTATCCCATTTTCTCCACCTCTTTAACTTGGTCTCTCCTTAGAGCTGATACCGGTGTTGTCCCGAATCTATAATAGGGGATATATCCCTCTTTCTCTATTGTCTCCTTGGATTTAATGTCAATTCCTATTGTGATGACTCGCCAACTGGAAGTTCTTACATTGGAGTTCTGAACCTGGATGGCGGCTCAGCAGGTAGGTGGTGTCTTTCCCCTTGCTCTTCGGCAGAAAGACCGTGATGGTCACCCCTTTTTGGATGTTTTCCCTCTTCAATGCAACCAGTCCCGGCCCCTGCCAATTCTTAAACTTATGTGCCGTTTCCACCAACCAATTCTTGAGATACACAATCTATGAGAAACATGACCACTAGAAAGTCTATCCCCGCAAAACGCAGCTAATCCGCATTTTGTGGATAGTTGCGTCACAATCCGCTCGCTACTTCTTCGTCCAGTATCGTCTCTTCTAGAGCCGTTTACTTGTCGGTGGTCAGTGCAATCTCTGGGTAATCCTTTGGCAGCACCGCTATTTTCACTTATCCAGCAATAGCGGCAAAGCTGGTGATACATCCTTGCTTACCTCTCGGTGTTGGACGGCTTTCCATCCTGGCTTCTTTCTTTCCTTATCGGAGAATAAAAAAATTGTTTGTGGTATCTTAAATTACACTAAAATGAAGCTCAGATATGCATAAAACGCCCGATTTCATTTTTAGTTAAGAACCGAAAAGTAAAGAATAGCAACAAAAACGCGACACTCTGTACATTTTATGCTAAGCGTAAATAAACAAGTTTGATTATTTAATAATTCTCTGATGATTTAATATTCAGAGTAGAAAAAAATATAGTGCTTTTGTTTATTCTGATTTGTTAAATATCTATGTCAAATTACCTAAATATATTTTTAATTAACGATTTTAAAAGTCATTACATACAATGCATAATTTTTTGGTATACATGGAGAGTTAAAAAATTAAATATATGTACAGTGAGAGAAAAACATATTTTTCTATTTGTATACAATATATTTTAATAGGATAAAATTTTACTTTTAAGTATCTTTATCTCGCGACCCCCGAATCGACTCGGACCGGTCGACTCGACATAGAGCTATCGGCAGGTGTATGTACAGTGTGTCCCATTTTGGTTGAAATCATAGGGTATCTCCGTTATTAGTGAAGATAGAAGGGTGCGGTTTGCACAAACCTGTCCCACTTTTTCGTCAAACGGAAGATGCTGCAAACAAAATTTTCATAGCCCTCTCCATTTCTGAGCTACAGGGTATTTTCAAAAATTTTGCAATTTGGGACACCCCCTGTTATTGTTAAAGGTATCGAGAAGGCGAAAACTGCTTATTATAGAACTTTTTACGTAGAATACAGTGGCGTAGTCTGTTTTTCTACCAAAAAAATATTTTTGAAAATATGAACTAAAGTTATGTTTTTTCAAATGGAACACCCTGTATATTTATAAATCATATGATCTGTCTTGCTACGAGCTTCTCAAAAATATATATCACTCTATATTTATTTTCACTATTTACTGCAATATTTAAAATATATCATTTTCTTATTAGTAGGCCGTGATAAATAACAAAAAATCAAAATGGTATTTACTAAAATAGTCATACACATATTAAAATTTATTTGGGATTGATATATTTTACTTTTGAAATAACTGTTACCACTGAAACTGTGAATATATTTTTCTTTTTTTTATAACGGGATGGGTTTGCAAATATCTAAATCTTGAATTATTAAAGCATTTTTCAGGTGTTCGACATTGTTGTAGTGCCCACGATATATTTCGTATTTCAAAAATCCCCAAAATCAGAAATCGAGAACGGCGAAATCCGGGAATCGAGGAGGCTATCAATATGCGTTCATTGGTTCCAATTCATTGATTTGAAAAATAATAATTTAACAGTATTCTAATATTTCCATAGTTATGAGGGGGAATGTTCCCCATCTTGCTGAAAGTATATTTCACGTAAATTAGCTAAAGGAATATCTAAAATTTCCGATACGATAGATTATTCTTACGTATACACGTATTCCAAGATTTACAAATAGCGGTAGAGAGTTAAGTTTCCCTAATATATAAAGAATTTATTAGCGGCTCCCAAAATAAAACAAGAGACAGATAGCAGTATACTTTTAATAATTCTTTAGTTTCTTTTATTATCAATCATGGCCTACTAATAAATATGATCTTTTAATAAAAACTTTTAAATATTGCAGTAAATAGTGAAAATAAATATAGAGTGATATATATTTTTGAGAAGCTTATGGCAAGACAGATCATATGATTTATAAATATACAGGGTGTTCCATTTAAAAAAACATAACTTTAGTTCATATTTTCAAAAATATTTTTTTGGTAGAAAAACAGACTACGCCACTGTATTCTACGTAAAAAGTTCTACAATAAACAGTTTTCACCTTTTCGATAGCTTTAACAATAACAGAGATACAGGAGGTGTCCCAAATTGCAAAATTTTCAAAAAGACCCTGTAGCTCGGAAACGAAGAGGGCTATGAAAATTTTGTTTACGGCATCTTCCGTTTGACAAAAAAGTGAGACAGGTTTGTGCAAACCGCACCCTTCTATCTTCACTAATAACGGAGATACCCTATGATTTCAACCCCTTTATAGAAATAATAATTATTTCTATGTACAGGGTGGTCGAAATTGGTCTGTTCGAGTCTGTCGAGTATAATTATTATACTCGACAACAGGTCCGATGATTACATTTATTTCTATGTATACCAAAACCTGCCGCTAGTCCCTAGTCGAGTCGACCGATTCCATTCGATTCAGTGGTGCCTATTTAAAACGTTGTCATTAGAATTGTTCTGTTCTTTTATCAATTCAAAAGTAAAAAAAGTTTATATTATAGACTGTGCTCTGTTTTATAGACTTAAAAATATGAAATTCTAAATATATTTTAGTTGGGATTTTTAGAACTTTAAAATGAATATATTTTAGAATTCATCAGAAGACCCAATACATCTCACTTGATTTATTTTTGATATTCTTAAACTAGTCTTTGTCATATCCTGTGTTTTAATACGAGTAGTTGTTTAATAGTGATATCTACGATCTACACTCAACGATTATGACTAATTCCAATTAATTAATTGATATTTTAAACTTAACAATAAATATCATATATTATTTATTCACTAATTTGGTTATCAGTGTATTGACATAAGTATGAATACAAATATTTGTTATGAATTCGTTAAGACACTCTTATGCATATATTTAGAAATTATCCAAAAATAACATAAATGTATTAGTTTAAATATACAAAGGTTCAGATAAACGACCTTTATTTTGTTATTGCATAAAATTACTTATTTTTAAACCATTGTAACTGCTAAAAATAATAATTTTATTTTTTTTGTCTAAGAATATACAGGTGAGTCTTAAATAAGTGCAACTATTTTTAGGGTTACTTGGGTTTATTATTAACTCGGGTATTTAGGACTTATTGGAAAAACGGTAAAGAGAAAATATGTTTCTCTTATCGAGATCTGCCAGCCCTGAAAAAAATTCAGGGCTGGTAGATAATACAGGTAGGTTAATACAAAAAAAATTATGATCGTAATCAGCTAATTCCGCAACTAGAACTACCATATCGGCATTCTTCTTAGAAAACATCATTTGTGATATACGTCTTCATTCAAACTGTTATGTTGCTAATCTTTATTATTTATTAATTGTTAGCTGTTAATATATAGATTTACCGATTTCAGAGTTCTTCACAGTTCCTGTTAACCGGAGTCTTAGCTATCTATGTACAACCGGGTCTTAGACCATATAGGTTATATATACTCGGTTTGGTTTGGAAAATTAATTGTTCATTGACAATTTTGGCAATTGACAAATCGTTGAAATTAGTTTAAAGAATAGTGTGAGTTTCTTAGGTTTAGCGTGTGATATTATCAAAAGCGACTTCCTGGGAGTATTTAGAGCCTTTAAAAGCAAATACAAAATTTTCTTTGACGTGTTACAATATTAGAGTCATAAGTTCAATAGTTGGATTGATATTATTTTCAAAATTTGTTAGGCTAAAATTAAAATATAATTATTTCAATTTGAGTTGTTTTTAAAACATCAGCAACTTATTTTGTAGTACCTACGATCTTCAGAAAGATAATCAATATAGGAGGAAAATAAATTTATACCTCCATAGGTACTATTTTCAGAATTTCTTGAAATAAGATTGTATAAATGGAAGAATATTTTTTAACGTAAAAATATATTTTTTCAAATTTTCTGAAAACTATTTTGTCGTACAAATTAAAAAAAATGATGTAGTAAAAAAAATGTTTTTACATTACCGGGCATCATCGTAACAACATTTCTTCCTCCATATTGAGACGGTTCCCTATTCTTAAGCTTATTCATTACTTTGGCTTTCGTAATAACTTTTCCTTCATAGGTATCCGCCGGTAAAACCGTATAATGGACACTTCGAAGAAAGCATCGATTTCCGAAAATTCTTACTACTTTTAGAACCATTTTTAATAAATACTATCTCTTAACAATCTACAGTTAAAAATTTCTAGATAATTTTATCTATAGGTAGATTTAAAACCGAACCAAAATCCTTGTTTATTTAGTAATATAACAATCAGCTTTTTGAAGGTGACACTCCAGCAGCTGTTCTTATACTGACTCCGATAAAACCTCGGATGATGCTTGTTTTCATTATCTTTAGCGGGTATAATTACATGTTTATCAAGTGCATTGATAAAGTGATTTGTTAAATGGTAATTCGCTAATGTTCGTTAATCTTCATAAAGTAAGACCTCAACTATTTAGAGGTATCAGGTAGGTTCCGGTTCTTCCTTTATGATTTTCTGCTAAAAGTATGTAGATAATTATAACATCTGGTACCGTGGTCATTTTTTATTATTTCTTAGTAGCAATTAATTTAAAGAAATCTATAATAGTGGAAATCATTGACTAAAAATGTACGTTCCTAGATATTGCATTAGGTCTTTCTTGAATTCGGAGAAAACAATGAAATATGTTGACCATTATACTTACCTACGGCTGATATTAAATGTGTAACTAAAGACTGTTCAGCCCCTAGATCACGTAGTATACTGACGTGGATAAATCAACGCCATAAGTTTAGCATTAAAAAATATGTCCTCAACATCACCACATGCCATTTTCAAACCTTCTTTATTGCACTTATGAAACGTTCAGTAGATTTGTCTACTCCAGTCTACTCTCAGGACCTTACTTTGCGCATGTGCATTTAAAAGTTGCACGTATTTAAAAAATAATCACAATTTTATACGGCTTAGGAAGTACAAATTACTTATATTGTTATGGAAACCAACTTTTCATTGTCGTCATATTCAGTCATATTGTCATAATCGTGTCATAATCTTATTTCCATTCTGTAACTAATAGTAGATTATTTTCTTTTATCTATGTTCTGTAACGTTTGTTTTGTGCAATTTTTATTTTAAAAATTATTGTATTAATTACTCTTTTATTGACCGCTTTTATATAGCCAAGGATGCAAGTGTGTTCTGCGAGAAATTAATTTTAAATTTGTGCAATCATATTTCTATTTTTATTCGTTGGACTTTCTAAATACTCCTTAAAATGACTAGAAAGTGTTTGTAGTCTAAGAGGCAGCGCCGAAAAAATTCTCTGAATTTACCAAAACCAGTTTTTAGACAGAAAGATTACAGTAGTTATGTACAGGGTGTCCCACTAAGAATAGCTCTCGGCTGTATCTCGGAAAGTATTAGCCGTAGGGTCTACGGAAAAAAATATTTATAACTAAAAGGGCTATGAAAAATTGCTGGAAATTATTTTTAAGTTTGTAAAACGGCCGCTAGATAATTTTGCCGCAAATTTTGCCTAGATAATGGGTACTATAAATAATAGCTTCATAATCTTCAGTAATTTTTTTTTTGTCAGAAGCATTTTCGTCTATCTGCTAAAATAAAGTGGTGGGAGAAGGTTAGATCTATCTTTATCTAAATATTAATAACTCCGGACTGGATGATCAGAATCCAACAAACGAGAGCTCGTTTAAAAGAGCGTTTCTTACTCTATATTATACCAGAAAAATAATAATAATAAGGTTTTGAACGTAGACGCTAGGGGGCGCTTACTTACAATTTAACAAATATTGCGGATTTTTTCAGAAAAATTAAATACGATAGTATATGTAATTTTAGCTGATAGTAAAGAGTAGTAAAAGCTTAAAAAGTCGGCGAAAACCGTATCTTGATATCTTCTTTCAATCCGAAGATACTTCGGACAAAAATTCTGTAAAAATTCTATTTTCTTATTTTCCATAGCAGTTGCGCCCTCTAGCGGCCGTTTTACAAACTTGAAAATAATTTCCAGCAATTTCTCATAGCCCCCTGAGTTATAAATATTTTTTTCCGTAGGCCCTACAGCTAATGCTTTCCGAGATACACACGAGAGCTATTCTTAGTGGGACACCCTGTAGATACCTACATATACCGCGGTCAGTCAAGCGAAAATTAGAACAGGAACCTCAAGGACGTGGTCAAAGTTGTGAAGATAACTTAGATAATGCAACGAATTTACTATTTAGTGCTTTATTATTATTATTAAAAACTCATACCTACATCGAAAATATTAGCCATGAATTACACTACCGAAGAAAAAGTGTTGATGATTAAATGGTATTATCAAGAAAATAGTTATCAAAAGGTGTCGGACATGTTTGCTGCTCTGTATCCGAATAGACCGATACCTGGAAAATCTACAATCGCAAGGAATATCCAGAGATTTGAGACCAAAGGTACCCTAATAAATAACTGCAGATGTGAAGCAAGGCAGGAACAAAGAGAAGATGCAAGAAATGATACCGCCTTGGAAGTTTTATTGTGCGTGGAAGAGAACGATGGAAAGATCATCACAAGGAAACTTGAGGATGAAATAAATATAGATCACACTACAGCGTTTCGAATTTTGAAACGACATAAATACTATTCCTTCAAATATGAAAAGCACCAAGAGCTACGAGATGGGGTCGAAATATGGCGGCAGGCGTTTTGTTTTGATATGATGGAAAGAGCAAACACGGATAGGGAATTTTTAAAAAACATACTGACGAATGCACGTTTACCTTAAATAATGAACCCAATGTTCAAAATTATCTATACTGGAACAAAGAAAACCAATACAGGTTTGTGGAAACAAGGACGCAATATCCACAGAAAGTAAATGTTAGGACAGGGATACGCGAAATTTAAATGCAGAATATTATTTGGAACTACTCGAAAATCATATTTTACCTGCTTTACATGATGCCGCTAGGGAAAAACAAGAAGTTTGGTACCAAATGGATGGCTGCCCGGCACATAGTACCCTGGCTATTCGGGAATATTTAGACAATAGTTTTAACGGAAATATTATTGGCCTAAATCATACAGTAAATTGACCAGCAAGGTCTCCTGATATTTCGCCAAATGATTTCTTTCTCTGGGGCCATTCAATAAACAGAATATACAAGGATAAAAAATACCCAAATCTAGACGAGTTAAAAAATGCTATTTCTGCCGAATGCAATAGAATTTCAGTTTACCAACTAGCGAATGTAAGAAGATAATTTTATGATCGCCTGGGTTATTGTCTAGCAGTCGATGGAGGAATATTTGAACATTTTCTTAAATCCTAAAGTTCTAACAATTTAATAATACCTAGATTAATAAGGTATTGAATATTGTAATAATACTGTAATTAATCTTGTAATTGATTACTTTATTTTACTTTAATTCATATTAATTTGTATTTATAAATACATCTTTAAGATTTCCGATGTAGGAATGTGTTTTCAATAATAATAAATCATTAAATAGGTAAATTTCTGAAATGACAACTTCATTTGACAGTTATATTTTACCTTCACTGGTGCTCATAAGTAAATACAGGGCCATAAGAAAGGAGAAATATTTAAAAAGAAATCGGCGATAGCTAATCAAAAATATCTAAAGTTATTCTTTTGAATGTGGGTTTTAGTGCTCTTCAATAAAATTAAATAGAATTATTCTCTAAAATAATCATGGAACCCAATAATTGACCCCATTAAAATTTACATGGGATTTCCCATGTCCCGTCCGACGATGCAACACCCGGTATAAATAACGTCCCCAATATACGTAAAAAAAATTAATATATTGATTAATATATATTAATATTTGATTTGGGGTTATAATTTTATTGACGGACATCGATTAATGTCAAAATTAAAAATCGGCGAAAGCTCATAAAACGTGACCACCAAAAAAAAAAGAAAAAATAAAAAATAAAAGCAGAAAAGTACTTTGCCAGAATGGTCCTGGCAGCCTAGGCAACGCAACTCTCTCCTGAAAAGGAGAGTTTGAGAAGAAAGAAGAAGAAGAAATTATTTATATTATTTAATTTATATAAAATTGACTTTTTTAACATTTATTGGGGACGACCAAAGGGGACGACTGACCAGCATTGTTCCGCTATTCCGCTGACTGACTAACATTGCCGTTAAATTCGTTGCATTACCTACGTTATCTTCACAACTTTGACCACGTCCCAGAGGTCCCTGTTTTAATTTTCGCTTGACTGACCGCTGTATATGTATGTACAGCTGGTTCCAAAAAAAATGAATACGACTCTTTACACATCCTTTTCGAATATTTGAGCAGTGTATAGTTATGTGTCAAGTATTTTGACATGTTAAGGTTATTGTGACATTGTATAAAACAACTTTGCTTTTGACAAAGTGGCAAATAAATTTTTCAGAACGTCAGCATGACATGAGTAGAGAAATGGGGGACAGGTATCATAGAATATACTGCCCAAAATAATAAAAATATGTTTTAAATCGTACTCAATTTTATTGGAACCAGGCTGTACATAACTACTGATTACTGTAATCAACTGTCTAAAAACTGGCTTTGGTAAATTCAGAGACTTTTTTCTTTGCTGGCTCTCCGTATATTGGTGTGTGGAAGTTCTAATATAAAGGCACAGATAAAGGGTTCCCGAATTATCTTTTCATAGGCAAGTAGTCTTCAGTTGTTCTTTTATTTATATTAAACCACATGGCATACTTTCTGGTTAGATTTCCTAAGAATATTCATATTCATACGGAGTGGCTAAATGTACTTTTTATATAATTTAATTTTCGTGACAGTTAACATTCAATATTGTTCAAATATATGCATTTTACAAATTAGATTTTTAAAATTAATGTTGAAATTTGGCTCGTGGACGATAGGTCCTCGACAAGGATAAATAGAGTAGAAGCACCGCGTGTGCAACAAAAAAAGAAGATAAAAGGAAGTCGTTGATATGTTTGCGACAGTTTCCATAGTGATTTACTTATCCACGTAAGTATACCGGGTGGTGCATCGTCGTTGGAAACATAGGGAATCATAAATAAAAGACTTATCATATTGAAGTAGTATAATACATTTAATTTAGATTGGGAACGCTCATCTTCCCGCCAAAACATGGACAAAACTTAAGTATTTTGGATCGCATCCATTCTAGAGTGCTGATACGAGTTGCTAAGAACAACCGTAAACAAAGACAGATAACATTTTTCTTTGTCAAAGTCAGAGCCTTCAAAAATTAATATTTACAAATTAAACCGGCTCTCATTGAAAATATATCAAAGAGTGTTTAATGCGTTCATTTT